GGCTTACTAATGAGCCAAAGATGCTAAGAGCCATCGGGGCCATTACTAGGCTCCATAATGATATCGTATCTTATGAGGTAATCATCTTAATGGTACCAAGTTTATTGAGATTTTATATAAGGCATCACATAGTTAAAAAAAAAAATGATTTGTACGGTGTACTATGCACTAATTTAATTTCTTGTTCCTCAGATGGAGCGAAAGAGAGAGCATGTGGCTTCTGCTGTGGACTGCTATATGAAAGAGCACTCAAAATCACAAGAGGAAGCCACTGAAATCATTTGGAAGGAGATTTCTGAAGCTTGGAAAGACATTACTGAAATGCATCAGAAACCAACTCCATTACCTGCGGCTCTAATAGAACGTCTTCTCAATTATGCACGTTTTTATCATGTGTTATATGAGCGGGGAGATGCCTACACCCATCCCCAGCTAATGAAAGCACAAGTTGCTTCATTGTTCGTCGACCCTGTTCCTCTTTAAAAAAACTCAATATCCACTGTCAACATATATGTGATCCAGAACATCAATCCTCAAATTTTATATAAATAAAACTAGTCATCGTGTCTCCTCAAATCTCCAACCCCATTTATCTTGATTCCAGTGCTCCTCAAATCCTCTACCACCCATCGTATCCCCTGTTTCCTAACTCTAAACCAAAGCTCAAATCTGAACATTCCTCTGTTTTCTCCCCTGTTTCCTAACTCCAAAGCAAAGCTAAAATCTGAAAATTACTCTGTTTTCTCCCCTGTTTCCCAACTCCAAAGCAAAGCTATAATCTGAAAATTCCTCTGTTTTTTCCTCTGTTTTCTCCCCTGTTTCCAAAATCCAGATCAAGGACGGCAAGTACATCTTCCTCTAAGGCGGAGACGACGTAGAATGGGTCCGGAAATTCACCAACACGGCCCGAGCAGTCGCAGTAGCCTCGCGGATCCCTCTGGAAATGGCCTACGTGGGGAAGAGCACGAAGAAAGAGCTCGTCCGCCGCGTCCTCGCCACCATCACCGTGGAGAAGCTCAGCTACTTCTGGCAGGACCCGACCATGATCTGGTTCTTCTGGACGCGCCTCGAGAGCATGCTGTTCAGCAAGATCCAGCAGGGCAAGCTCGACGACCATGACCCCATGATGCTGGAGATCAAGAAGCTGCTGAGCTACGACACGGAAGGAGGGTGGGCCGTTTTGAGCAAAGGGTCGAACATCATATCGAACGGGCACGGCAACACGTTGCTGACGACTCTGGTGGAGTACGATCTGTGGAAGGAAGAGATTCCGGTGAAGGGTTTCGATCTGGCGTACGATGATCATCACAAGAAGGTCCATGGGGTGACTTACCCTTGTTGCAGGTTCGAGTTTCCTAATACTGCGGGGAGGATTACTGAAGGGATGAAGTGTCCTGGATTTGGGATAGGGTCAGTAACCAATGGTTACTGACCTATCAGTAAATACACGGGAACCGTAGATCTGGGGATGGAGCAATCGGGTGGCTGGCTGGACGCGGAGGTGGGGAGGGGCATTTTTGTTTAGTTTTTGTATTTTTAATTTTTTTTTATTTCGCATTTCAATGGCTGACTTTTCAATGAAAGAAAAAGAATAACCTTTTCTCTGCAACTCTATTTTCTTCTTTCTCTCTTCCTTCTCTCTTTCTTTTTCCAATCTCTTTCCAGATCCTTTCTCTATTCCTTCTCTCTTACTTTTTCTCTCACAATCTCCTTTTCAAATCTAGATCTGCTCTCTTCCATCTTTATTTTTTTCTCTAGCAATCGACTAATAAAAATTGAAGTCACCCTCTTTAATTGCGTTTCTTCTCTTCATCAACTCGTTGGTTTTAATTTCGATCTTTCTCCTTTTTTGGCGTTTGGTGTTCTTTGGTTGCGGATTAAATGAGATGAGACAGAAGACAAGTTTTTTTTTCTCTCCTTCCTTTTGTTTTCCCCCTTTCTTTTAGGTAATATATATTGGTATTACCACACTATACCATATGGTATTATGTGGTAACGAAATATATATTGGTATTACCACTCTATACCATATGGTATTGGGTGGTAACGAAATATATATTGATATTACCACACTATACCATATGGTATTGGGTGGTAACGAAATATATATTAGTATTACCAGTCTATACCATATGGTATTAGGTGGTAACGAAATATATATTGATATTACCACACTATATCATATGGTATTACCACTCTATACCATATGGTATAGACTGGTAATAACTGACAAATTTTTTTGTGTCCAAAAAATATCAAAGTGGATATCATTTTGAAGAGCACAATTAATCTGATCTAACTGTGCAAAAAAAATTAAATTTCGACTTAAAACGAGTGAGAAATCGTCCGTTAAAAATTAAGGGAAGGAAAATTAAATATTTTGTGAGGAGAGAGAAGGAGGCGCTGATGTGGTACGGTCAAAAGTCAGCCTCGACAATAAATAGGAGAAAGTGCAATTTTACTGTACTGCCCTTTTCACATTTAATTTAAATAAAAAAGTGTCTGATACGTGGGAATCATAGAAGGGGTTACTGATGGGTTACTGACCCATCAGTTACTGACCCATCTGGACCCAGTGTCCTGAGTGTCATAGGTATATGGAGAAGTATACCACTTTCCTTTGTTGCCATGATGAAGGGCATCCTACTGCCTCGCCGTTTCGAGGGGAGTTGTAGACATGACGACATGGCGTTTGAGAAGCGGTGCTTGGAGTAGTACTAAATAAAGAAGGCGGTGGAGGAGAGCTATATATATGGATCATGGATGGATGCTTGCATGCATGGTTTGCATTCATAGAGCTTTTTAATATATTTGTTGCAGTTTTCAAGTGTTTTTTAGTTAATGGTTTGAGTCATGTTGTAACTTGCCAATGGCGGTTCATGTCATGGAATTCATTAATGAATAAAAGTAATATCTATATCCATGGTAAAGACGGGTTTACTTTGAGTATAGTATAATTCAGGTGATCTGACGGTTAGATGTGATTTGATGATATTCGACCAATTTCAATTATCAATTATTATTTTTCATTAAATTGAACTTCGGACTTGAGTTGAGAGAATCAAGGCCTGAAGTCTATTCATTACAGGTCAGGGCATAGTATCATACCCTAAATTCGATTAAATTCATGGTCTAGATGGAGATGTCTCGCTAGGAGTACCTGAAGTATAGTATACTCCAGGAGTACACCAGTCTGACCCCTATATCTCTATATAACATCAATGTTCAAGAAGGCGTTGGGCCGCTGTTAGGCAATACCTACGTGTTTTAGCAAAAGTAGCGGGTTTCAGTATAAGTACAAATTTGTATAGCACGTTTTTACTTCGGTGCACTCACTTTGAGTGCACCCAACTCTAAAAGCGTCCATAATACATCAAATTTTGAACTTTAATTAGTACTCTCAATATAATATGATGATATGACATAGAATCATAACAAATCAATCCATTACGCTAACCCCTTAACCTTGAATTTTGAATCCCAACCCAAAATCCCAAATTGTAAACCTAAACCCTAAATCTCTAAATCCTAAATCCTTCGAATTAAAGTAAATTTTGAATGATTTTTTTTCAAATTCATGTGCTTCTTGTTCATTATATCATAAGCAACAATTGATACCGTTTTGACATGAATCGCATGGTCAGAATGACAATTATGAGGCGGGTGCAGTGAGTGCCCCGAAAAAGTGGGTGCACCGAATACGACACCCTATATATATATGGTGCCTTCTACGGTACCCCGGAGGAAATCCGGGGTACCGCATACCTTGAGTATGAAAACGCTATCTAGACCTCGAATTAGTAGGATTTTTGGGCATGATACTATACCCTAACCCTTAATGAGTGAACCCTGGGTCCTAATTATCTTAATCATTACCTATAAATCCTAAGATGCTGCATTACTTTTTTTTGCCTATATTTGGACGAATCATAACCGTCGATTATTGTTTCTAATTAAATTGATCTTGGGGTATAAGATTTAGAGAATTAAGACCTAGATTTTGATCTTTATGGGTTAGAGTATAGTATAATGTCCGAAAGATCAGTCAATTCAAGTTCTAGATAGCGTTTTCTTACTTAAGGTATGCGGTACCCCGAATTTCACCCGGGGTACCGTAGAACTCCCCATATATATATATATATATATATATATATATATCAGTTCGGCCATGTAACTAGGTTAAAGATTCTACGTTGATAATAATATTGACTGATAGTTTGTCGCTCTTCGTGGAGTAGTCATGTTCATATCGAACAGGGAAACCACGTAAATTATGTGTCTTGTGTTCTCTACATGATTTGCGTATGTGGTTTGATTGAAATGATTTCAGACCCTTTTGGATCGAGAGGTCTTGTGTTAAAATCTCGGTGACCCCATATGTTTTATTAAGGACATGGTGTTTGGATCTATGCAAACTTCAAGCCCATATACATATGGTGGATTTCGTTTGAGGGGGTATGTTGTTTAATGGTATATGATCCACGATTGAATCTCTTCCAATCACTCGAGTTATTGGTATCAACAGGTTCTTGAAAAGTATTCCTTGTAATACCATACAATCGCATGTTAATTACATATTTTTTCAAATATTATAGTATTGATAATGAGCTTACCTTTTTCTAATCACGGTTGATTTGGATTGTACGGATACGATGACATTTATTTAAAATATAAACGTGATATCGATTGATAAAAAAACAATTAACGAAACATTGTGATGTGCTCAAGAATTTAGTTGAGCTGCAACCATTTAGCTAGGTAGTTTATGGGTGAAGTAAGATAAACTTAGGTGAAGGCATTATACAACTTTGTGTACGGGTAATCCAACGTATTAATGTAAGAAAGATTGACGATTTCAGGATGTGATGATAACTGTTCAGGAAAGCAAGGAAACACAAGATGAACGCAAAAAGAAAAGAACCAAAAGCAAGAAGAGCAAGCAGGAGCAACAAGAAACATCACCAAAAAAAAAAAAAACATCGGTATAGTAAATTATTCAAATGTCAATGATTTCTTCAAAGAGGCACGGGATCAATGAAAAGTGAGGTGAGATGATCCTTCAAAAGGTGGGAATTGATGAGGCAATCACCATCGTCGTAGAATATATTGATTAGACGTGTCAAATTGAGGAGACGATCCGTGAGATCGGTTGATGGCAACAAGGTCGGTTTCTGACAATACTCTTCGACAATATCTTTCCACGCGTTAGAAATCTCTTTCCACAGGAATTCAACAGCTTCTTTCTCCGACACTCGATACTCCTTCATACAACATTCCACGGCTGAAGCCACATGGTTCCTCTTTTGTTCAAACTGTGCAAAAAACACACGCCCCACTGGTTAATACAAGTAACATAGGTTTCAGTAAAAAAAAAAAACTATCGTAACTAATTAAGCACTTTGTAAGATTCATAAAAGAAGGGGGGAAAATACCTCGTGAGAGAAAATGTCATTTTGAACCCTAGCAATGAGACAACCAGCATTCATCATTTTAGACTCATTAGTTACCCATTCAAAAGCCTTCTTGGTGGCTATCTCTGCTCCCATACCAACGAAACACGATGTGCAAAGTTTGGACACACCGCTAGAGGCAACTCCATTGATAATGTACTCTCTCAGTGTCGGAACCCGACCTTCATTGCGCCACCGAACCTCACCCAAGTAGGCTTGGGACAATTTCTTGAGCTGCAATATGTTATAACAATATGAAGATTTAATTGACTAATCTTTTTCTTGACATACTATGTGGATTATTTATCGCAGATTACGTACCTCTGCCTTTGCATATTGGACACCGAAAGTGGGTCCTATTTTCCCAGTTTCCTTCTCGATTTCATCATATAGATTAAGGATGACACTATATACATTTCTCATCCTGTCGGGTAGTTCTTGGAGAGCCCTAACATCCATCCTGTAGGATTATGCTCATATAAAATACACATACGATTCCACAATCAATTATTAACAGAAAGCGCTCCAACTAACCTAAATAGCCAATCTAACACATATGTGGATTATGCAACAAGAACCTTTCAATAGCTTCAGTTAGGGCATGCGCCTCTTCATATGTAGCAAAGTTATCGTAAGTGTCGTCCAATATAGCCAACATTAAGAAGATTTTGGTGGCTATAATTCTTCCCGACCGGTATTTGGGCTCAAAGTACATAGAATTGACGCAATAATAACTCTCCATAAGCCTGTCTCTTGCATAGGGAAATTTGGTCGCCACGTCAATACTTCTCCACCAACTATGTATGTGTATATAACAAAACCAAACCAAGAGAGGTGATTAGTGAGTAACTAATACAATATTACAACAATGTGTGCATATATTAGGTTAACAGAGCTCACTTAGAGACTTCATAGAGCTCTTGCTGATGAAATTTTTGAACTATGTTGAAGTCCAACTTTGCAAAGGCGAGGAGTTTTTCATGGTGGAAAGAGTCCATAGAGTAGAAATCGATGGAGTGTCTAGCAAGGGACCTCGGGACACATTTCCAAGCAGGAACGCGAAGAGCAAAGTCGATCTGCTTTTGGAATGAAGGGTTGGTTATATTGTGTGGGAAGATTGACTCAAGGGTCTTTGTAGCAAAACTCTGGAGTTCATCCAATATATCTTCCCCATTGAACGCCATGTGTGTTGCCTCGTACAAGCTCAACAATCCTTTCTCGTCCTTCGCCAACCACTCTTTGAACTTTCCTTCACTTCCTTTCAACTTTCTAAACCCATCTACACATACATGTGTGCATAGCAGATTAACATATGATTATCCACAATTAATCGTATATAATAGAAATTGTTCTAACTAACTTGTAATTATGTATACATACTTACCCGGCGATACAGGAAACCCTTGTTGTCTCAGGAGTCGAAACCGGAGAGCTGCATGGTAGAGATCGGAACCTTTGTCACCAATGTTAGAAAATAAGTCATCTCCTAAATCATCAACTCTTTCAAGAACTTCTCCGATCTCCTTCTCGAAGTGATATCCAACGCCTAGCCGTTGTACTGCATCTATCAGTCGTAGCTTATCTGCAATATGTGACTCAGAGTCTCCACTTTTTACATCGTAATCTATCACCATCTTCCTCACCTCTTGCTTCAAAACTTCGTGTTTTGGCTGTTTATGGTTCGCCTAAAAAAAATAATTAAGCAAGCTTTAAATTTTGAATCCAACAAATTCTTCTAAAAAATTATGCACACAAAAAAAAAAAAAAAAAAAAAAACGATCAAGAGCAGCACAGGTAATAAGTTAACCTGGAGTGACGCATAATCAAATCTGTGGTCGAGGAAGCCATTGCCCCAAACTGTGCGAGGGAGGCTTGCTGATGAGACATGATCCACCGTTCCGGCGGTCGCCTGTGTTTGAGTCGCCGGCGAGTTAGCAGCTGACGGAAGTGGTAATGAAGAAGAAGACATAAAAATAATAGCATGCATGGCAGCGGCTGGCTGGCTGTTATATCTTCGAAGTAAGCTGTGAATGCTAACGACTACTATTAATGTGCAATGATGGCAAAGGTGGCGAGGACTCACGAGTCACGACTATATATAGTCAAATTGTCAAGTGTAATAATTGAAGATATCAGCAAAAAGAAAATCAAATATAAAACGTTGAATGGTAGAGAAAATACTCAGTCGAGCAAAAAGAAAATCAAATATAAAAAAAATAGTTGTTTCTTCTATTTTACGATTGGGTGATTTTTTCTACATTGTATGTTTAGGTTTAAATTTAGCTACTTTTCCTGTTTTACGTTGAGTGATTTTTCGTACATTCAATGTCTACACTTAAATTCCACTTTATTAGAATTTTTTCTTGTCTTATTGGATAATATCTTGTTTTGATTCACTTGATATTTACGTTTATTTGTAAATGTGTATTTTGAATTATGTAAATAATGAAAATTAGCTAACCAAAATAATATGCAATATGACTTTACAAATATATCTTTTAAAGCAAAAGAATACGCAATTTTTTTTTTATTTTTGAAGCACCGACAACGAAATTCTGACTTCGCCCCTGCAGTCGAGGATACCATAATAATATTATATAATTACCATCTTGTTTCCAAACATAATCATAAGTTTTTTACTCTATGAGTCATATTTTAACTCTTTATACTATAATTGCAAGAAGTTGATATAAGATTTTTTTTTAGTTCATATTTGTTTGGAGCGGTTGAGAAATAGATTAATATATAATCATTTATCATTTGTTTCTACTCTGAATATATCACTCGTACCATGTCCAGACAGGTTTTGCCATATATATCATGTCTACTCTGAATCATAAAATATCAGTCTGACAGTTTTTCATTTGTCTTGGCCCTTGGCTGAACCTAATTGCCTGAGAATGGAGCCAGCAAATTCAGCCAAGTCTCTGGTAACCTTGATGGCAACCAAAGAAGCATGAACAGGCTCCACCACCTATTGTTGGGGAATGAGAGGGCTCTACCTTATGTACAAATTGACAAACTTGGAATTTTGCTCATAATAAGAGTACACATGCATGTATAACTTACTGGAAATGTTTATGCATGTTCCAACTTTTTAGTAAATGAATTACTAAGGGTTAGGGTAGGTAGGTGAAAGCAAGATATAGTAGTGTGGATAGTAAGTAATAGAGTTAAAATATGACTTTAGAGCAAAAAAAAGTTAGGTACATTCGTGACAATATTTCAATTATTTCACATACACTTCATAATAGTATCCAAAGGAAACATTTTATGTACGAGTTAATGGACAATATAGCCCCTGAACTATCACTTTTTCCTATTCAAGCCCCTCAACAATTTATTTTGTCTATTGAAGTTCCTGATGTCTTCGTTTTTTCCTAACCCAGTCCCTGCCGTTACTTTTCTGGTAATATGACGTTAGTATAATTGAAAACGACAATATTATCCTTAATAAATTTAGAGAGAAAAAAAATTATCCAAGAAAAAAGAATACCAATCATATTGATCTTTTACCCCTAATTGATCAACATTGAGATTCATGATCTTTTACTCCAAACTCGAGGCCAATTGATTGTCAGTTAGGTTGCCTTGCAGAAGCGACCATCAACACCGATCAAGATATTGATGGCGGCGATGAATATAATTGGGATGACAAGGTCTAGAATGTTGAGGCTCCCCTGATCATGCTCGACTCTTTGAAATTAAGCCTCCGCGAGGCAGCGTTTGGGGTCAACGGCGGTGTCAATGTACTTCAACATGTAATGGACAGGATGAAAATGTAAAGGATAGGGTTACGAGATGATAGAAACCCTGTTGATCTGAGTCATCTAGGATATGGACTGGTTACAAGATTAATTGGGGATGGATCGATGATTAGAGATTTGATACAATAGAGATCAGATTAGGGAAGAATTAGGGATTTATGATAGAAAGAACATAATTGGGGATTATGGATTGAGAAGAAGAATTTGGGCAGAAGAAGAGTAGAATGGCGGGCGGCCTTAGGGAGAGGAGGGACGAGATGATAGAAACCTTGATAAATATCTTTATACGACTCAAATTCTACTAACTCTAACAATAATTATTTTACCATAATTAATAATAGAAAATCTTAGGAAACATGTTTTTATTATTCACTCCCCCTTGATACCAACCTTTCCTTCAAGGTGGACCGACTTGACCAACTTCTCCACATCTCCCCTGCAATCCGCGCATTGGCTTCTCCATTCTTGTGCTTCCTTTTCTTTCAATCATGCTCCACTACTTGACTTGGTCCAACTCTTCGAATGTCACTTCTATGAGCCCACTATTCGAAACAACTTAGCGTATCCATAGGTACTTTTTGTACAATAATCTATTCTTAAGCATAAATTTGTCAAGCTCCCTCGAACTCCATGTTGGTAGCCCATGTAGGTCTGATCCCATTGATAGGTCAAAACTCTAGACTAGAGTTGATCCTCCTTGGAGTTAGCCCATCAAATTCTTTAGCTTTCTCTTCAATTGCTCCTAGCCCATACTCCCTTGAGAACTCATTTACTAAGCCCACAAATTCATCTTCTTTTTTTTAAGCTCACTCCATACATTAATAATATTATTAATAATATTATTTATCATTAATATTTTTTTAGGATTATTTATTAGGATTATTATTAGAATTATTATTAATGTGTTTAGTAGTCTTTTATTCAGATTAGGTTAGTATTAGGTTTTTCCGGTCTTTCGTTATAAATATGTACTTTGGGATCTTTGTTTGGATTAAGCATAAACTAATAGAAGAATTATGGGCAATGTCTATTTTTTACCCAAACCTTTCCAAAATTCTTTTATTTTACCCAAACCTATAGAAATTCCATTTATTATCCAAACGTATTGTATCTGTTCATAGTCTGGGCATTCGTTCTGTTACCGTTAATTTTTTACTAACGGATCTCCACGTCAGCGACCACGTCAGCGTCCATATCAGAAATTAATAAAATAAAAAATTATTAAATAAATAAGCCATTCTCCCCACTGTACTCCACCGTTCCCCCTGCAAATCCACTCGATTTCTAGGCCTATACAACACGTGTCTCGTATGCTTCCAAAAATGAAAACCACCAAAAGAGAAACTCAATCCCCCAATTCAATTCACATAAATGAACTTCCAATTAAATTCATTTCCATAGTCGCTCAGGAGCAATCGCGTTTTGCATTTATAACCCATTGATCGTAGTCTGCCGGCGAGAATCGCTCGATACAGAGGGGAATCAGTCAGGGGCAGGTTTTCTCTGTTTCTTTTGGAGGGAAGGAAAATGGCGAACCTTCCTAATTCGCTCTCCATGAATGCTCCCTTCGGAGGACCTGGTGGCCCTGACCCTGGCGGCGCAGGAGCGCCGGCCGGAAAGGAACGGAGAATGGCGTCTGCCGAGCACTTGGTTCTCGAGATGAGCAACCCCGACCTTCGTGAAGAGGGTTGCTGGGTCTGGAACCACCATCTCTGCCATCAATCCCCCTCTTCCTTCCCCACTTCCCTTCTGCAATTCCCGCTTGCCAATTCCCCCTTTTCATCACACTTGTTCGATTAAGAGTTCCGACGACTTCGACGGCGCCTGGTACGTAAAACGTCTTTCCCCCAATTTGAGATTTTGACGAAGGGAAAACAGAGGGTTCTGATTCGATTTTGGGTCTCTATTCTTCCTGCAGGTTGTTTGATTACGGAATCGGAAACCATTTGCTTCAGTCCGAAGACCCAGAAAGCATGCCCAAGATCAGCGAAATAAACCCTAAAGGCAACCACATCTCCTTCCAAGTTCTTCTTCGTCCCACCCTTCCCCTAAATTACCCAGTTCAACATTTTCATCGAGAAATTGTAAAAAACAGAGGCTAATTGATTTGGAATTTTTTTTACATTTCTGCAGTGCGAGAGCATGGCGATGGTGGAGAAGAAACTGAAGGGAGGAGAGGAGGATGCTGTGGACGACGACTCACTTTATTAAATTTTTTTCTATTAATTTTTTAATTTTTAAAATATAAAATGATATGTTGACCGCCACGTCAGAAGTCAACTCAGATTTGTGATGTTGAGTCAGCAATATTAACAGAAAAGTTGACGACGAGTTAACGTTTGGATAATAAATAGAATTTCTATAGGTTTGGGTAAAATAAAAGAATTTTGGAAAGATCTGGGTAAAAAATAGACATTGCCCAAGAATTATCTCCCTAATTCTCTCTTCTAACTCTCTCAATCTCTCTTTTCTCTCTAGCCTAGGCAGCCGGCCATTCTAGCTCTTTCTTTCCTGTTCTAATTCCCCAGATCCCAATCTCAATCCCTAATTCTGTTCGTATAAACCCTAATCCCCAAATATCAAAACCGATAGAAACTTTGTCGCTATTATGGAGCGTCACTTAGCTGAAGCCATTAAACTAAACGGAAGAAACCGAAAAGTTTTGCATCAAATAAAATAAAATCAAGGTATGTGGTTCTTTAAATGGAAGTGCCAAATTTGTGAAAGTTCTCAAAATTGCATTTTTGTGGGTATGCTTGTGCTTGGCTTGCAGTCGTTTGGTTTGTTCTGTAGCTTGGCCGGTTGGGTGGACGTTCGCCACCTCTTGTGAGTTAGAGTGATATTTTGGGTCTTCCCCACTGTTTCGCTTCCCCTTCCCCTTCCCCTTCCCCTTCCCTTTTTTTTTATTTTTTGCGGGTGCTTCTCACGCTTCCTGATATCCCCAGCGGCCGGCTCCTGTTTGCAGAGTGAACAACGAAGCCACTAGTTTTTAACAGCAGCTAGCGCTTGTGACTCAGCCTACACAGCTTCAATATATGTGTTCACAACAGAAGATTTTGATACCATGTTAAATTATACGAAAATTGAAATAGAACACAAACACTCGCTCGATTTACTTGATTTTCCCGAAGAACCAATGCATTATAAGAGAATTTGTACATTTATGTTATGCCAGAAGTTCATAATTGGAGGTCGTGGAGATTCGAACACACAGTCACTTGGTCAAACCGGCTCTAATACCATGTCATAAACCAGTTGGTCCCAATAATTCGAGCTGTTGGGAGA